TCAATACTCTTAATTTACTAAATAGTTTTACAGACTTGATCTTTTCTCTTCTGTGGATTCTCATGCAAACACAACAATTGGTGTAATTTTATACTGAGTAATTGCTTCCCTCTTATTAAAATAAGTGGTTTACAGTTGTTAATATGCTATTTGCAATGTATGTGAAAAGCAGGCATAGTAAATATTAATTGATAAATATCCCACTAATAGCTGAAAGCTCTTCTAGAAGTCAAAGTGAAGTTTATTAACTAGACAGTACACATAAAATGTTTTTGACAGCTAAGAAATGTAGACAGTTTAAGATGTGATTTTATGAACTGAATATTGTCTAACAAGCTCATAAATAGGTCTCTTTGAAAGCCCCAAAGGTGTCTAATAATCTCTGATACTGATAGCAATGTTACACCAGAAATTCAAAATAATTTGTAAGGGAGGCTCCATGTAGTACAATTTACAGTCCCTGTAATAAACACAAAGGGTAATCATTGGACATTCCATTTCCATTTTCCTCCCTGGACAAATATTTGGCAGCTATAAAGTCTTAATTCACTAGCTCTCTAAAGAAAGCCAAGATACAATTTTCAGTCAGTCAAACAAATAAGGGAAAACTTAAACTCTAATCTGCAGTGAGGGAGTAATCTGTAAGAATAACCAATTAGGACTTGCCTTGAAACTGTCCTAATTAAAGTATATTTGAAATTAAGGAAAGGCCAGAGAAAGCAAAATTAATGAGGAATTCTGAGTGTCCTTAGAGAAACAGACAAAATCATGTAAAGTAAAAACAGATGACATCTGACCACTTGCAAATAAAGAAACAGTGCTGTCAAACAACAATTCAAAGATTTGAATAAGCTTCTTAGTGTTAATCTTACCTTTTTATTATACTCTTTAATGGGATATAACAGAAAAGGAAATTATCAATTACAGTACTAAATGCAACTTTCTGATGTATCTGTAAAAATGGCCTAGTTTATGGTCCCAAACAGGACAAGTTCAACACTAGCGTCATACAAAGCTGCCTATAATGCTCATGGTTACTTTGAACATAAATTGCCACTTTAGTAGTCTTTTTAGTTAACTCAGTATATTGAAAACTTATTCACAATTTCCAAATTGATGCAGAATGCATCGATTTTTAAAAAGATGATTATCAAGATCACCAAGGCTTTCCATATTTAGTTTGTTCCAATGTCAGTGAATACGCATCCTTTAACAAAGTAATTAGTTACTGAGAGCACTAATAATCAAATCTTGGCAGCTATGAAGTTTCTAACATTCCATAAAATCTCTCCAACTTCCAAAAGGCTAGCAGAGCTAACCATTCCTAAAAATGGTTAATTTGCAGCGGCACTGTCACTTGCAGATCAAGTACTTTTTTTCACATTCCCAGTGGGACTGTCAGGCAATCTATCAAAGGAAATAGCAGATTAATTTAGGCATAACTGAAACCAAAAACTCTTAGTCAAGGACATGAAAATCATCCAGATGTAATAATTGTTATTAATGTAAAAATTCCTTTGTGATTTAATATTGCAAGCATGTATAGGAATCGGATTCCATGCCTAGTATGTCTGCACTTTCTTTTATTTCACTTTCAAAACTTTCACTGTCAAAAATCTTATAGGGTGTTCCAGCAGCCACTTCTCAACTGTATTATATAGTGAATGATATTCACATATGTGTCATCAACACACAAGATTTGGGGTTTTTTTCAGTAAAGGAAGAGTTTTCACTTACAAAAATAACCCCACTAATATAAGTAATTTCATTCACATTAGTCAGATTCATCAAGACCAAATCTTTTTGTAATTTAAAAACTAGATGTATGTCTTAGAAATCTCAAGATGAACAGAATGCTTAAAATATCACCTCCTGTTACCAATTAAAGTGATTGAGCATGTTACCAAGAAAAAGCAACACGTGTGTACGCATGCACATACATAAAAATTGATATCTATCAATCTCCAACAAATTCTCAGCAAATTTTTACTTCTGGTTGTTCTATTATGCTGACAGTAAAGCATAAAGATTACATTTCTTAAGCAAAACAATTCACTAAATCTAGACTTCCTCTGTTTTGCAGAAGTCTAACAAGCTAAAATCCTACTAAATGAGCAGGCAGGAATCTGAAATCTGTTGTTGCCGTGTATGTTCATCTATGAAGCAAATTCACCTTTTAAATAGAATTTGGGATTTAATAGACTTCTTACACTCTTTTTAAAACATGAATTACATTTCTTAAGCAAAACAATTCACTAAATCTAGACTTCCTCTGTTTTGCAGAAGTCTAACAAGCTAAAATCCTACTAAATGAGCAGGCAGGAATCTGAAATCTGTTGTTGCCGTGTATGTTCATCTATGAAGCAAATTCACCTTTTAAATAGAATTTGGGATTTAATAGACTTCTTACACTCTTTTTAAAACATGAAAAGAAAGCTAAATAAATTCCCTGCATTATTGAAAATCTGAGATGTTAAATTCATTGAAATTTTTAATTCTCTATGTTTAGCTATATAGACAACGTTCTGAATTTTGCTGGTCCTCAATCTGTTGTTCTGAAAACTAAACCCTGTATGCGACAACACAAATATTTTTTATTCATCTTCTCATGAACTCAGATTGAAATTAATATTTCTTTCCTAACACCAGTCCTACATCACCAGGCAGTGTTCTTAAATTACTCCTTTGAAGGCTGATCTTTTTAAAACTACATTGCTTTCTGGCATCAGAACTTCACCAAGGTGCCCTGGTAAGCTAAATCAAACTCCTGACACATCTACCTGTTCTCCTGAGGACAAACCTTTGTTGCACTTGAAAGATCCTGTACTTCAAAGCCTGCCAGCTTTGGTGGACTCCTTTGTTTACCTGTCAGAGCTGCCTCCCATGGGATCCTTCCCAACAGTATCCTGACTAAATCATCACCCTGCTTTCCACATTCAGGGTCTGTACTCTGCTGCTTTCTGACTTCCTTCAGGACCACAAACATGGTGACATTTCTGTTTCAAAGTTATCACAGATGAGGAAATTACTCATCATCACATCCCCAACTAGTCTCCTTCATATTAGTCAACAGCAGATCCAGCTACACATTGCCACTGGTTGGTCCTTTTAATACCTTCAGCAAGAAATTATTCCTGAAACCCTCAAGAAATGTCTTTGATTGCAGTAGTCATGTTGCCTTTCTAGCAGCTGTACATTCAGTCACCCATGAGACCCACAAGGGTCTACAACTCAGAGACTTGAGTTCTTTAAACACTTTATTTGCTTCCTCATCACGTGGTCTGTAACAAACTCCTACCACAACTATACTGTAACTGGCCTCTCCTCTGATCCTGAGCCACAAATCTGATTACCCCACATCCCACTGGAGAGTTCAAAATACGTGAGCTGCTTATAGTTCTGAGGGCAACTTCCATCTCCTCAGGCCTTCCTTGCCAGTCTTTTTTGAAGTTCTTCACAATACTCCAGTTGCATGAACTTGGCACAGGATATGAATTGATTCAAAAATATAGTAGTCCTGTAGCCACAGTACAGCTCTAATTCTTCCTGATTTTTTTTTCACAGGATCTGTGCATTTCTGTAGCAACACTTGAGTCAGGTGTCTGTTCACATTGTTTTATCATTCCTGAAGTCTTTGTTGCTCCTGTCAACCTGAACCCTGAGCTTTCCACCCAATCATTTTACTGTGGTCTGTAATCACTAACACCTTCCCTAGTTCAAAGCTCGCCCCATTAGGTTAGCCAGCTTGTAGGATCGAGGAGACAACACCTGGGTCCCCATGACCTCAACGTTAGAGCTGTTTGATCATTCCCAATATGTTCCCAGCTGGTGCCTGTATGGATAAGCAGCAGTAGTAGTCTAAAGACTGGACTTTGGCAGTCTCTCTTGCAATGTTCTGGATCCAGGACTACAGCAAGTCACTTAATTTGCTACCAGGTGTTTGGACCCCTTGAACTGCAGATCTGGAAAAGGAGCCATCCTCCAATTTTTGGAGGATATATCCAGCCCTCTAACAATGGGACTCTAGCTTGAAACTGATCACAATCTCTGGCTGCTGCTCCTGTGTGGTTCAGACTCTCTTACCTCTGGGGACCCAGTGAAGGCCCTATTAATCTCCTCCTCACTGAGCCTGTTCTGTCTGCTCACTTCCTCCTACAGCCCAACAGGAACAATACATTTCCTCAGCCAGTGTACACCTCTTGTAAGCAGGCACACTCTGTTCATAGAATCATAGAACTTAAGGGTTGGACTGGACCTTACAGATCATCTAGTCCTAACCCTCCTTGCCATGTTCTCTTGCCCCAGCCTCACAGGAAGGTATCAGACACTGCCTGCAGCCCAAGGTCTGGGGACCTGTATCCTCCCTCAACAGCCCTGAGCTGAGGTCTCTGCCATGCCAGCAGCAGCACTCCCAGGTGGTGCTGGGGACCATGCTCCAGGTTGTGGTGCTGCGGCTGCTGGTGTATCTTGTGCTGCCATCAGCATCTTTCCAGCCCCCTCCCACATGCAAACTTCTGGACAAGCCACCACTCTTCACAGGCATAGAATATGTGTGCTGGGTTTGGCAGCTGCACCTGAACCAGGACTTGGCTCTTCTCTAACCAGGATTTACCTCTCGTTCTCCTTGAACTCAAGCTTGGCTGGACCCTGGTCATGGCTTGCTGTACATCAGTGCCACCAGCCTCACCACGCATAGGGACAGGGCACCAGAGCCAGTTTCCTCTGGCCAATGCCTCCCTGAAACATTGTGTAGCCACACTATTGGCAGTCTTGCAGCTCCCCAGCACCAGTGCTGCCATGGCAGCACCCATGACTGGGCTTCTCCACACACCCTCAACAAGTCCCCCCTCACCAGGTTACATGGATAAATAGTTGAGAAATGATGGATTTATCACATTCATAAACCCTGGATACAATTTTACTCTCAGTTACAACGCAAGAAATCAGAAGTCTAAATTTTCTTTCTTACTCCCTGTGATAATGATGTACTGCTAACATACCTGTTTCAGGCTTTCCAGCTTTGTTTGTCTCAGTTCTTCATATTTCCATTTCCAGAGAAATAATTCATTTTCCATCTTTTCCATTTCTTTTTCCAGAAATACATTCATTCTGAAAAAGCATTTTAAAATTCAGTCTTGCACCACTTTGCAGCTGACAAAAGACAAATTACTTTGAATTATCTTTTACTAGCTTGACTTATAGTTTGCTACCTTTGTCAATGGTATATCTTGATTTATTAAAAATCTGTATTAACATCACATAAGTATTCCAAGAGATTTACCAAAAATAATAGCTCAAGAAAACAAAGCAATCCAGTAGTACAGATTTAAAATTTTAAATTAAATAACATTTTGGGATAAACTGAAGAAAATTTGAACTTGGACCTTGGTTAGTGATTCAGGTCACCTAATTTATGGCAAGTTAGTGAAGATCCTCAGAGAGAAGGTATTATATCACTTTTATTTGGTATAGATAGAAGATTAGTTTAAACACACATATGCAGGGGAAAGTATACAGTATGGAAAGAGTATGGAAACCAAAGATGATCCACTTTAGGTTTTATAAAAAATTATTAAAATATGTATATTTCATGTTTCAAAAAATATTTGCTCTTGAAAGAAAATGCTAGAAGAATTTTAGGAAAATGGATTATTTAGCTCAGAGGTACTATGCCTGTAGAATGAGAAAAATATTGAAATATTTGAAAAGAATATTCTAATACTGGCAATTAAAGAAATTGTTCATGCTGCAGTAGTTATTTTCTATTCTGAGGTTAAAGGAATTTATCAACCTTTTTACTAAAGATGTTATTGACAGACTGACAGAGCTACATTCTGAGAATATTTAGTTTAAAATTCATTTATTAAAGCAAGGTGTATTGATGGGATATTTCTGGGGCATTTATATGCACAATACTGCAGGTATACACAGAGACAACAAGAGTCACCACTGCCTGGACTGGCTCAGGTCATGGAAGCATTGTTAGCATCATTAATGAAGCAATCCATTTTAGTGAAATATCTTCTTGTACTCCTCTTTTACAACTAAACAGTGCTCTTGAACCAGGGATCTCCTTTCTCTGCCTAGATTTAGCACATTGCACTGCTTGTCTTAGCAAACACCTAGAGTTCCCATAATATTATAGAAATGAAATAAACACCATCCCTCACAAAGCAAAGTGGAGAAAGATGTATTTCATGCATTTCAACTGAACAGTTTTTCTCCTAAATTGATGGGATATCTCATTGGAATGATATCATGCTTCATTGGGGAACTAAAAGAATTATTAAGTGGGACATTTAATACAGTAGAAATTGAAAGCATGAAAGACGACAGCTTAATACTTTGAATAATAGCCTATTGACTGTAGTGGATGCAGTGGAAGTCCTTAGAAATGGTCTAATCTCAAAAGTAAAAGAAGAATGTCCAGAATGTGGTATATACTTAGAAGGCACTAATTTTATTTTGTGTTACAGTACCTCTTACAGTACCTCTTACTGTACCAGTTATTTTCACTCCTCATTCTCTAATTAAATCACACAATTACACTGAATGGTTCAGATTGTGAGCGACTTATAGACGTCATTAGGTCCAAACCCCCTACTCCAGCAGTGTCACCTAGAGCTGGTTGCTCAGGACCATGTGCAGATGACTTTTGAATGTCTCCAAGGATGCAGGCTCAGCAACCTCTCTGGGAAACCTATGCCAGTGTTCAATCACTCTCACACTAAAAATGTTTCTTGATGTTCAGACAGAGCCTTCTGTATCTGTTGTCTAAGTCTACTCATTCAGCCCTAAGCAATTCCTCTTTGATATTATCAACTACCAGTGTAGTTTGTGAGCTTTTGGGTTTAGAGGAAAGAAACACTTCTAAGTTCAAAATGGAACAAATTACGATCTTAAAACTAGAAGACATTTCAATGAGAACACTGATCCAAAAGATGACTAAAGTGAGTTATTTCAGGCAAATGATTATTTGAAGTGCTGAACAACTCATAAGGCTTTTAATATCCATTCATGTCAAGGGGACCTCAAATGTATATTAGATATGAGCCATTAGTGCTTAGTAGAGGATGTTGGTGATTTTACATTCCAAGCATTTTTTGAAAGTCAAGACAAATAAAATAAAGAGATGAAAGTTTATTTTTTTTAGAGCTTTTTTCTATTTATATTTTGCAAAGCCTGATCCGTGTGCATAAGGGTATATCAGCATTACTGATGATAGCTCTAAACAGAATGCAATAAGCATAGATCCACTTAGGCTGAAGAAGCAAAACATCTTATGGAGAGCGTGGATAGATAACTAGGGGCAAGTCCAAACGGTAGATCTGCAAAGCTAACTTGACTGTGGAAAAAGTGCAGCCATAGTTCAGAGTACTGCGTGTAAACCAGAAAACTCTGCTGAGAAGTCCTCTACTATACGAGTAAGATCATACTAACTGCCAAAGTAACCTTTGGCCTTGGGGTTCAAGCTGTCTGTGAACTGTTTGCTTTTGATGCAGCACAGCTGTGTGTCCTTGGCTCAAGTTCACTGAGAAAACTGCTAAGTTGTGAGGAAGAAGCTGTGAGAAAGTACTTAAGCTAGAGTCATGGAAGATAAGGAAAGTAAAAATGCAAAGAGGGGTGAGATTGTTGAGATAGCCATTATTAGCAGTTCCAGAATACATGAACAAAAATACTGACATGAACAAGAATAAAACCTATGAGGGAAAACTGAGAATCTGAAGCTGGAAACTCAGCAAAATCAGCTGATTCCACTAAGCAGTGGAGACCAACCCTTTCTGACCTAGCAGATGACAGCCTGCCCAACAAAGATGCATCTGCTACCTCAAGAAACTGGTGACTACAATTAACCTTATCCTAGTAACATTATCCATAGCTATTTATTGTGCACATTGTCAAATATAATTACTTCATACTTTGAAGCTGCATATATTCTGCTTACATAGCATCTTTGAACACAGGAAATGTTGCCCAAAGTGACACAGAGAAGGAGTTGTTATACCAATGCCCACTGTTATGTGGAAATCACCGCAATGATTTGCATTTGATGCCTGAGGTTGGAACTGCCACATGTTGCATGGTAGAGATATGCCCCAATCCTTACCATGTGCCAGTAAGTTTATTACTTTGTATCACAGTTAGTATATATCTAGGCATAAAAGGCAAAATCTGTCTCTCTGAAGTACAGTTACAAATTGGCTAGAGAAGCATATGAACAAGCAAACCAAAACCGGGAGGTAGAACCAGGGTTTATTAAAGTTTTGCCTAAGAAGTGATTAAAAACAAGAGTTGAAAAATTATCCCTTTTCTAAAAGGAAATTATTATATATGCATGTATGTTTACTATGATTGCTCTTAAAAGGTGAAGTACCTAGGACCCTAAATATTTCAACCAGAGGAAAATGGATATGTGAGGCATAAGTCTCCTAACTCTCTTATATATATTGCTTCTACAAAAAACCTAAAAACTTTTTAAGGAGAGAGAATATACTTCTGGTCATCTTCTGCAATACGATACAACCAAAAAAATTATTGTATGCTTTCTATAGTTATATAATTATTATAACAAGACAGTAAATGCCAGATAGGAATTTACATTATTATTTTTTACTCAGACATGTGCTTTCTACAGGGCAAATGTAAAACTGACAGGAGGGGAATTCTTCAATACAGTTTACCATTACAAACTCTCGGAAATGAAACTGTAGAGCATATTTGCAATAGACAGGGAATTTTCTTCCTTATGATTTTCTAATTAACTTCAACTGATTTGGAAGTTACAGTCACGAAGTTCCTGAAGTCTGCTACTAGATCCATCATTCTTCATAGTCTGCATGTTTCTTTGAAAAGCCTTTTTGGTGTGATTCAGTCTTGCTCAGTATTGACCCTCTATACAACATGTGACTTCTTTTCAGTTACCAAAATGTGCATTTAGTACTCATGTGTATTTATCATGAGATATGATACATTAAATGTACAATAAATGTTTTAATTTCTCTCTGTTATCTGCTTTTAACACAGACCTTACTACAAGTGAAGGAGTTTAGATGAACAGCATTTTTCAGCTGTATTCATATTATTTTAATTCAAAAACAGCCTTCATCATTCTGCAGTTGGCCTCCTTCTGCTGGTAGAGTATATGAAAATTTGTTATTATGCACAAAGCACTCCAATAACTTAGTATAACATATATTAGATATCACTACATTGATGCCAAATTGCAAGTAAGTATTTATTTGTATGGACACTTATTTAAATGACAGACAACCTAAAGAAAGTAATAAACACATCATTCTCTCTCTAAATTCTTATCAAAGCCTTGTAAATAATAAATAAAGGTTAGGAATGAGAACATATGAGATATAAATGCAAAAATTCCCATATGTTTTTTAGAAAGTGTCATAAACCCCTTTAACAGAGATTTCCCCAAGAATGCACTTACTCTCTTTCCTTCTGTAAGATTTTCTTCATCTCAGCCAAATGCAAATGCAAGACTGAAACATGTATTAAATCATTCTCTGCTGTCTTAGCTGTACTGTCCCAACTTTTTTTAGGTTCCTTCAAATAGATGCTGGGAAGTCCATTTGGGAAGAAATCTGAAGACCTTAGAGTGAATTTTTTATTGTGATTACTTTGGTCTTTGATTACCTCTACATCCTGAGAAAACAAAAATATGACATCCAAGAAAAACATAAATGAAAGGAAAAGTCTAACAGTTCCTGTTATACAAGTTTTCCATAAGGAGCAAAGCATACAAATATCTATTTTTGAAGATATAAGTTTTGCATAAAAAATTTAAGCAAAACCGATAACAATTAGAAAAAAGTAATTAAAAATAAAATACATATATGTTAGGAAGACTGAACTTCTCTTAGAAACAAGTTTCCTTTAGAAATTTATTTAAGTTTTACCTCTTCTGACGAACTGTGTTGAAAAGCTAATCTCATTTCAGCAGACTTCCAACAGTCCTATTTCATACCACTTTCTTCTTTTGAGTTTTTAGAAGAATGCCCAAAATTTACATCAGAAAATACTAAAAGCCACTGAAAATAGAAGACTGTTTTCTATTCACATGTAAAATTTCACAACATAATTGCTCTCCTTACCAAACCAAAAATCTTTCAAATTTGCAGAAGAATTTGCCTCACGTCTTCCCATGTTTTTGAAGCTCAGGGAGAATTAAATTACTTGATTTTTAAAGCAAAGAACCTAATTGTCAGAACAATACCATAAATTATCAGATATAACAGTTCCTCTGTTACTTAAATTCTTAGTCATAGTGCAAGGGTATTAATTGTTTTGACTAATTCTCTGTATTGGATATATTTAGATGGGTGGAAAAAATGGCTTTGCTAGTGAATGGATCAGGCAGCATTTTGGTCAAAATGACTGAAACCCTCCATTTCTAGATACAAATCCATATCCTGCTGCTTCTTCATGGACTAAAAATAAATGCCTCATTTTTTACCTTCTTTGTGTCTTCTGCCCCAGGAACTTTGATGATTTTGCTCAATTCTTTCACAGGTTCTGGTTCCAGAAGTGTTAACAGGTTTTGATCACTTTTAATATAAGATATTTCTGAGCAACTGCATTCTGTTTTCCAAGCAATTCCATTTTGTAAGTTTTCCTTCTCACTTACTAAATCTTGATTTACTTTTTTAAGCATACTTAGTTCTTTTATGACATTGTCTAACTTGATTTTCAATTGTCTTGCTTCCTCTCGGGCTTTATTTCTTTCTCCTCTAACTTTGCTCCATTTCTCCCTCCAGTTAGCAGTACAATCTGACCACCAGCGCATGGTCTTCTCCATTTGGGCAGCTCTGGCTTTTACCTCTTCCAGTTCCCGAATTTTTACTGCTTCAAAAATTTCCCAATCACTGCTGTAATTCATATGCATATATGCATTATGAGATGAATATGGGTAGAAACTTTGAGATGGCAGACTTGAATTACAGAGATGGTCACCTGGTCGGCAACCTCCATCTAATTTTTGAGGTTGTCTTGGTTGGATCCCAAAAATCTGCGTCTCTTCCATTCCTGTCTGAACAGAGCTTAAACTCATGTTTTGATGCGTCATCTAATTTTACTCCTAAAAAAAGACAAAGACAGACAATAATTTAGCTTCACTTAATTAAATTGTATGAATAACCTCCAACCGCAGGTAGTGAGAGAAAATGCTGATACGGACAGTCTATAGGGACTAGTCACTTACACCTCCTTGTTTTTTTTCCCCTCTGTGTTGTCTTAGAAACAAAACCAACCAACCAATCAAACAAAAAAACCCCAGCCAACCAACCAACCAACCAACCAACCCTAAAAATATTGCTGCATCAATAGAAGACTAAGTTGTTTAAAAGAAAAAAGAAACTGCTCTTATATTCCAATACCCATTTGTAAAACAATTATGTTTATATGTTACTGCAATTAGTGCTAACACCTGCATTTGAAATGTAGAAGGCCAATGCTGCAAACAAAATACTGAAGATTAGACAGTTTTGGTATTATGATTCAGTTGTGCTTCATTTCAGTTGAACAGAAGTTTTTGCAGGTTTTGTTCCAGTTTCCCAGCTGTTTTCAACTTTTCCATTATTTCTAGGACATTTATTTGCTGTTTGTTAGAAGCTTATGGAGAACTGTTGTAGTCAAGTATGGATATGAGAGAAAGAAAAGGACAGTAAAGGACTCCCAGTTCCCTTCATTATCACTGCCCCCACAACAACTCTACACAGATGTAACACAACTTCTGCCAAAGCTTCATCAAGGTTGAGTCTTTTTCTTGTTTCTTGACATACTTCCAGAAATTTAATTTGAAAAAGCCTTATCCAAAATACAAAGATATTGCCACTCATAATTTTGCACGAGGCCCAGTAGAGCCAAAAGAGCTATATTTTAAACTCTTGCAGTAAGTTGTTCATTCAGCTTTTGAGTTTTGGTAATGACTTCGTTTCCTAATGCTTTAATTTAAAAAACCCAAACAACAAAAGTCAAAACAAAACCAAAACAAAAACTACACTAAATTTAAATATATAATAATATGCATGCTACATATTGTAATAAATATATAATGAAAGAGTCAAAATTTTGTTTTTTTTTAAAAATAGTACAATAACTTTTTCTTACATATTTTGTATCTGTCCCAGACTAGCAGATGTCCACAGAAACATTCATTACACTCTTCATAATCAGTAGGAGTTTTTAATGGGTTTTGCTATCAGATTTACATATTCAATAAAAGAAAGAAGAACTCAGAGAATGCACATTTTATGAATCTTAAAAGTTGGACAAATAAGAATGGGCATATTTTTCTTTGGATGAAACTCTGAAAGACCTGAGAAAAAACTCCCACAGATCTCAATACAATCCATTTCACTGACTGGCTGACTCAGCATAAATACATAAAATAATAGAAATATTTTTTTTATAAGTGAAACAGGTAACAGGAATTCTATGTCAACTATGAAATATTAAGATTTGTGCTTGTATCTAATTAAATAATTAGTCTTGATGAGAAGCAAAGATTTAAAAGTTAGAAAAAAGTGTTGATTATTGTAAAAGTTCTGAGATGGTGAAAAAATTTCATAGTTCTAAGGGAATGATAAGGATGGACTTATTTTATTTTATTTACACTTCATATCAATTGGTTCTTTCATTTCAAAATACTGCACTGATGAAATAATAATAAAAACAATTCCAACTGTAGACTGTTGTAGTACTGAATCACTTGATACTAAATCTTTAATCATCCCTTTAGTTATAGCGATATTACTTTTTTAAAATTTTCTTCTCTGGTATATGACCACCTCATAGAGAAACATTTCATTGTAAAACATCATATATCTACTCTGAACTCTGAAAATTCTCTTCTATGAAATATCTATATATGTTCCATAGGGGAACAAGAACAATTTTTAACATGCATGTTAAAGATAACTAAAAGAAGAAAGCTACATGTTAATTTTGTTAGACACAGATGTGTAAACATTATAAATTTCATAAGTCTGAAAACTGACAAAAACACACTGTGTGCAGCTAGTTTTAAAGTTGCTTGCTTGAGTTTGCAGGAGCAGACTAGCTAGCACAGCGTATGGAACTCAGGGAGCATAATTACTTAATAAAAGATAATTGGATGGAAAGATATGATAAAGTTAGAGAATTGGATGAAAGTGAGGGTATTCTGTTCAGTGAAACCTTCTGATAGTTTCACTCTTTACAGTTCAGAGAGAAGAAGGAACACAAAATCCCTTTTAGAGTAGTTTTCCTGGTCTGAGAAAACATGAAGCAACACTAATTGTATCATGTCAGTGGGGTGGAGACAGTACGCCAGAGAGTGATGATAGGTCTCTGAGGAACAAAAAATACATAGACATTTGGTGAACATGACAAGAAACATAGGTCTAAACCATATTTCATTATTTTGCAACCTTTTCTTATTTACCCAACGATCCTGAACACTAGTAAGAAAAAATGTTCTTGATTTCTTATTGCCACCTATTGTTATAGGCAAAGAGAATTGTACTAAACCACTAACAAAATCACCAGGAGGTAAAAGAATTGTTGCACTTCCCCTATGTTAATACCTGCTCACTGAACTCAGGTTTTTCAGTCAATTCAGTAGACAAGGCAGCAAGTTGAGGACAAGATTTCAACACCCTTTTACTGGTTGCATAACCTTAGTTACCTGTCTCTTAATTATGAAGACGTCATCCAAACTTTTTTCAAAGGTATTCTGTGCTTTCCTAAAATGTCTGCTTCAGATTAAGCCATTTAATTTTTCTTTGTCTAATCTATAAATTTAATAGGACAATATGAACCATAGAAACTGTACACATGCTTTTGTAAGTGCTACTGGAAGTCAGAACTTTCCGTGATATTGCTGCAGTTCACCATTCAATCAACAAACCTTGGCAAAGGAAGAAGACCAAGAGAAAACGGGCAGGGGTGGTGGGCTCATCATGGGAAGAATACAGGGAGTGACTGTCAGTCCCTGAAAACTAGGCTATTCACTAAGGGCTGCTAACTACCAAGCAATGGACACAAGAAAAGGAGATCAAATTATGTGTTGCTGTTCCTGTTGTAAAGCTGGCTTTAATTAGTCACCCTTAGTGGTTCCACCCCGTGGCTAGAGAATTGGCTGAAAAAATATTGCTGAATAAATTATTTAAATGTATGGAGGAAAAAAGCAGCACACTGGAAAGTAATTTATGACATAGCTCAGTCTAAGAATAGATCCATAAAAAAATGCATCTACTTACTAAACCCCTAAAAATCCTGGCAACTCAGAGCCAGGTGGCTGATCATTTGGCTAGAAAAAACATAGCACAAAACTCTGAGGCATGTTTACAGGAATAGCTTAAACACACTGGGATTTAAGATTTTTTTCAACAGGCTATGAGAAGACGATGTCCAGTGGCAAAAGCTCTGGAAAAACAAATTGCATATTCATGACATTTTTATTAAACAATGGTATATCACATCACCAACATTCTACCAACTTCAGGGAAGGTAAATTAATCTGGGAAACTTATACTGATCTCTTTAGAACTAACATCTGAAGGGTGGAAAGACATCCTTACAAGAGCCAAAATAGTGGTATAGGGAGTGTGCGTTCTGCCTAAGCTACCACTAGTCTCACAACTGTTACTGCTTTAAGCTAATGATTTGCTACTTTTGCCTTATATAGAGAAATACAATCTTATGATGGATAATGTTTTAAGAATGAAGTAGGACAAGCTTGGTGTGGTTCAAATGTTGTACACTGGATTTTCTGCCTACTGTATTAACCTCAAAATAACAGGACAGTGGACTGATGGAATGGACTACTAAACCAGCAGCTACACAAGAATGAATATGTTAATACTGTATCCTATCTGTGAGAATTTGTAAGTTGTGTACACAAGTGACAAATCCCCACAAGAAGAAGGGGATAGATGAGGGATTCATATCAGTAGCTACCCAAATTCCTGTTCAAACAGAAATAAAACACTCCCGAAGTCCATAAAATGAGATTGCAGTTAAACATCCAACTCAGAGGTTATCTGTGTCACTCTCCGTTTACAATGAAAAAGAGAACAAGTTAACAATAACTGAGATTTGAATTATGCCCAAAACCTAAGTGTCTTCTCTTGTAGAAAATGTGACCTTACCACATCACTATGGCAACACTGATAATTGGAACATATACCCAAAACTTGTCTCTAACTGATCCTGCTTTTTAACATGGAACAACTCAAGTATTGCAGATCAGTCATAACCCACCTTTAAAATGAGTTACAGGAGGAATACCATCTGCAACACCACAAGGACAAGCATTGACAGTAGGTGATAATGTTACATTAACCTTAAGATCTAAAACTAACCTGAATTTAACTAAATCTAGTAAGGACGTGTATCTGTACATGGTTGTGGCAAAAAACAGAGTAAGGAGATACTACAGGTCTAAGGGTGAAGTTGCCTGTCTCAGTGTTAGGGTCACAGAAGGAACTTGCCATAAGGTAAGCTAGCACAGTGAGAATTTGAGATAAGCACAGAAGAGAGGAACTTGTGACAGGAAGGCACTAATCCCAGGCCTGGCAGAGGTAAGATCTGGTTAGCACATCCTGGTTAACACATCCTGACAAAAATTCCCACTGTGGCAAACTGCTTGAAAGGAAGCAACTGCTCATATGCATATCACTAGTTAGACTCAGATCCCCCCAAGTTATGGGACATACAGCCCCTGTGACCACCACCAGCCACTGAAGGCTCCCAAAATCTTGGAGGAGGAGACATCCATCCTTGCTTCACATGCTAACAAAGGGTCGCTATCCTTGCTTCACATATAGATAAGGAATATGCCTCCATAGGTACCTGGAACTTGGCCTCTATAGAGGTGGTACCCCCAGAAGAACAACGTGGGGACCCCCACCACCAGAAGAAGCAGATCCAATAGCAGGCAGACTGCTAAGGCTTTTGTGCTTGCCAGTGTGATATGTGGGACACTCACACCATGATGGAGGAAGAAGAATGAGACCTTTCACCAACAACTTGGTAACTAATTTTCTCGTAGAGAAACATGATTTACAGAGCTTGTAAATTAGAAAGTTTGTGAAT